CAACTTGCTTGGTTTCGCGGATAAATCGGTTATGGGGGGGGGGGGAGGACGACACTTGTATATGAGAGTTCGTGGGGAGTGGGAGGGGAGGGAGGGAGGGTTATGAGGGGAGTAATGGGGAAGGGGGGGAAGGTTATGAGGGGGACTGATGGGGAAAGGGGGGGGGAGGGAGGTATATGAGGGCAGTAATGGGGAAGGGGAGAGGAGGGAGGGTTATGAGAGGAGTTGATAGGAAAGGGGAGGGGTAGGGAAGGTCCTCTGCATGAGGTTGGGGAAGGGGGAGGGTCTTTACGGGACGGGGGGGGGGGAGTCATAGGGTTAAATGGGGTCCAGGGGTGAGTAAGGGGCAGGCAAGGAGGTCCTTACTCGATGGTCGATGAAGATATTTCCCGAAGAATGCAATACAGAAGACTATTTCTGGAGGGTCTGTGCGTGTTATATAAAGGGCGGGGGAGGTTATTTGGCCTTGTATGTCGTGCATGGTTATGTGTGTGTGTGTGTGTGTGTGTGTGTGTGTGTGTGTGTGTGTGTGTGTGTATGTGTGTGTGTGTGGGTGTGTGTGTGTTTGGGTCCGTGTGTATTTGTGTCTATGTGTGCGTGTGTGTGTATGTGTGTGTGTGTGTGTGTGTGTGTGTGTGTGTGTGTGTGTGTGTTTTGGTGCGTGTGTGTGTGTGTCTATGTGTGCGTGTGTGTGTATGTATGTGGATGCATTTTTTCAGATGTATTACTAGAAATGTCAAGACGAATTTATTAAGTTTCGAGTCAATAGTAGAATCTATATTTGTGCATTGCCCCAACCAGTGCTTATGTTTATGGTTTTGTTGCGTGAGAATCACTTCGACACTTCGAATTGTGCTTTATTTTGGAAGTCATTATCATTATGGACTGCAGTATGTAAATATAAATTATTCAGGTGAAAGCAAGTTATATAGAATGTATAAAATGTACGCTGTGGTCCATAAACTACCCATCTATGTGCGTATACCTGTATGTGCATTCGTGTGAGTGCCTGTGTATGTCTGTATGTGTGCGTGTGTGTGCATGTGTGCGTGAAAGCATGTGGACAAGCTGTATAGTATCATTTCCCCGCGACTGAGCCACACTATCGCATCCCGACCGCAAAACCACACAGCTGAGATCGAGTGAATCTCGAGATAGTGACGAAGACAGTGATCTTGGTGATGGTGAGGCCGAGGCAATGTGATGGAGGCAGTGATGGTGATGAGGATGATGTTGGTGTCTTGGTATTGTGACGGAGAGGATTATGATGAGGATAGTAGTGATGGTGTCTAGGTGCTGAAGATGATGAGGATAGTGATGATGATGCCCTGTGACGGATATTGATATCGAGATAATGATGGCATTGGCTTTGATTCTGTGGAGATGGTGATGATAATCCCTTGGCATTGTGCTCAAGAGTGATGCCAGTCATTATGGTGACTGATAGTATTATGATGATATTAAAACATATTTATGATATATTGCTGTTGGGGTCATAAAAGTAATATATTGTTATGATCCGCATGTAATGATATCAGAACATAATTCAATCATAATTCAATTCAGTCTTTCCAAATCGAGATGTTGACATACATATTAATAACCTTAATGAAATCTATATATGACATTACACCAGCATACCGCCACATTGATATGGTGAAATTATGTATTGCATTTTTTTTATTAATAGACTGACATGTTGCAACGATGGTATCACAATCATGTTAATGAAATGATACTGATAAAGATGCATTGCTACCTCGTTCTTAATAACGCTTTTACCTCTGCCTGTGCATGACAAGAGGCCAGATGTGTTTCATGCCGGTCTTTGTTGATGAGGGAAAAGGTATATGGCATTCCTGTGGAGTGCATGATTTTCATTATGTGAGGGCTACCTGGCGTTCCTTTTGGGGGTGCATGCCGGTCTTTAAGGGAGATTGCAGGACATAAGGGGGGGGGGTGCAGGATATGTCTTATAAGGGGCCGAATACGTTCTCTGTGTGAGAGAGGGGGCTAGTGCATGACGCCCCATGTGGTAGGAACGGGCGGATGTAAATAATCTCTCAGTTAAGAATTTTATCCAGATGTTCTTGTGGTTTCGTCTTGATAAATGATAATTATATAATATGTTTGTGTTATAGATGGAGACAATGGCTTATGTAATTTCACTTCTATTTTAGGTTGTTGTGTGTTAATATTACAGTTCTAGTGAAAACACTGACGTTATATATCACTCCTTCGTCATTGTCATCGTCCACACCACAACCATCCTTTGAGGAATAAGAGAGACAGACAGACAGACAGACAGACAGACAGACAGACAGATACAGAGAGAGAGAGACAGGAAGAGAGAGAGGGGCAGAGAGAGAGAGAGAGAGAGAGAGAGAGAGAGAGAGAGAGAGAGAGAGAGAGAGAGAGAGAGAGAGAGAGAGGGAGGGAGAGAGAGAGAGAACGAATGAAAAATATTCAGATTGCACGGAGGGGAATTAGAGAAAAAAAT